GCTCTGACTTTTGTCAAGGCCGCCATGTCGTTGGCGACGAAAGGGGTGGCGTTGAAAATGCCACTTTCTTTTCTGGAACCTTACGCCGACCGGGGCGGTTGGCTGAAAACGAACCCCCCGTCTGTTTGTGTGTTTCTGCGCAGAGCGAAATACACGCGTGCGAACAATGCGAAGATGGGCGAATTCTGGGGGGTGTGGTATACTCAGGAAATGAACTGCGGCCGAGGGGTCAAAAAAATGAACACTTCACAAAAGCTCCGTACGTCTTTTGCGCCCCACAAGGAGCAACAACACACCCGGCGTCCGGACACCCGGCGTCCTGTCTGTTTCACCTGAAGGGCACCTGCGTTTGCCGGGGGCAACATGAGCACCCAGTGATTGAAATCAGGCATCCATCGCATTTGGTGGAGTTCGCCATCGGCGCCGCGTTCCCAGCGGCGAGTTGTCTCCGTGAACTCGTGGATGCTTCTGAACGCGTGCTTGTGAGACGTGATGGACATCGTGAGGTAGATGGTTGGCTCAACCCCAGAGGGGTTGAGCGGACTGACCAATTCCTTGCTCCATTTCCCGGCGAACGACGCCCCACCCTCAACATCCTTCATCGACCCACCTGCCCAGTGACATAATGTGTGAGCAACGTTATCAAAGGATCATTTGCACAAGCTATTGGGATATAAGGATACTAAACGAAGGTGACAAGCACTTATCCGAAGCTTCCCTGTNGACCCACCTGCCCAGTGACATAATGTGTGAGCAACGTTATCAAAGGATCATTTGCACAAGCTATTGGGATATAAGGATACTAAACGAAGGTGACAAGCACTTATCCGAAGCTTCCCTGTACCACAAGATAGATAATCCTGTCCTGGGGGTGGTGGAAGGGGGTTGTCCGGGTTAATCGTGACAGGTGGAGACCTAACGAGAGCGGGAGCCCTCATACCGATTTAGCTTTGCAAGTTTGCCGTCTTCTATCTTACGGGGAAATCATCCTGAATACAAACCAACTCACCTGGGTGAAAGCACCGCATCTTCACCCCAAACGCTTGTGCTGTCCACGGTATGGCCGCCTGTTGGCTGTCGCTGAACTCGCCAGCGACCTCTCGCACGGCAAGCAGGTACAGAACTCGCGCTACGCTCTCTGTCAAGACCTCAGGCTTGCTGCACCCGAGCCTCCAAGCGCCCTCAACTTCTTTCGCGGAATACGCCTGCAGCGTACAGTAGAAGCCACCGTACCCAGGACCGCTGATGAATGTCTGCAAATGTACTAGGGCCGCCCGGATTACGGCTACACGCACCGACAGAGACAGCTCCAGCGCTTCGTCAGGGGTTTTGTACCTGGCACCAACCCCCCCCAACGCAACGGCGTTGAAATAGCAAGCATTGTTGGCGCAGGTTTTTATGGTCGACCCCCTGGTCCCACCGTCCGCGCTGTCCGCCTCGTTGAGCAGGGCTTGAGCCGTTGCATCCACGAGCATGGGTCGCCTCAACAATCCTTCGTATCCCTGCAAAAAACGACCGGAGGCGGTTGTGTTTCTGGTGGCATCATTTTGCTCCCATGGTGTGCCTATAGCACGTGCACGATGCATGGTTGCACAAAAATTGCTCACCCAATACACTGGGTTTTGATGAAGCATGAAACGCGACCAGTTCCTTCGCGGAAGTACACCCACCTAATGTTTCGCAGCGATGACTGTGGCACGTCGTGCTCGAAACATTGCGCGCTACACCAAGACATGAAACACCGTGGTCGTCGTTGCCGCCAACCCTGGGAGGGGATGAACTCTGCCTCTAGATTTTTTCCTTGCGCTTACTCGGGGGAAAATAGAACAAATGGGATGGGGACTTTAGTTTTTCCATGAACACCACGGGGGCTGTACGACCCCGAAGATTACGGTATTGCCGAGGTCGGCCGTGCCAAAACCACGCCCAAAGCTGGATAATGCCGTGCGTGCGTCTGGTGCTCTTACCGGTAGGATGACGTCCGTATCTTGGCTGCCCAACACGTGCTTGAAGCTCCTAGCGTACTCGATCATCTCCGAGCATGCACCAAGTGCCACACCGTCTTCCACGCTACCGCTCGAGAGCACGACATCGATACTTTCCCTCACGCGCTCCAAGAAACGGAGGTTCGCTTGGTCATCCGCGAGCGCGTTGTCATCCTCCCACGGCATTCCCGATTCCACTCCGACCCCCACGCGCTTTTTCCGACAGAGGCCCATCCTGCTACATAGTACACCGACAGCAGCCGCCATTTTTGTACGATGTTGACATCGGGGTGCGGCATGCCACAAACACACGGTAACAGGAGTGCGCACATACACATTTCCGCATATAAAAACCATTGCTGGGTATCACACACGGTACTTAAACATGCGCAATGCAAACTTACAACTGCACACATTGAGGCATCGATGCCAAGAATAAGAACCACTGGCCACAGCAGGTGAGGAGGCGACGTTGAATTCGGTCGGTGCTGTCGCGAGCTGTGGTGTGAATCATCGTTTACCGCGGACAAGGACTTTCAAAATCTAAATAAAAAATTCCGAAATCTCTGTCGATACCACGAACCAGTCGAATGTGCTGCGCAATTTGTGCTGAATAGAGCATCATCGTTAGCACCCATAACTTATGTCGGCGGTCGTCACCCATAGACTCAAGCGTATCCTCTACTACATCACTGCGGCAACGCAGCAGCGTACCGCTGTACAGCCCGCGTGGGTGTCGACACAAGTTTCCTTCACGCACACATCACTTCATCGAGCAAAGCCCGTCCTCGCGGGCGTTGACAGTCATGGGAAAAGAACNGGACTCAAGCGTATCCTCTACTACATCACTGCGGCAAAGCAGCAGCGTACCGCTGTACAGCCCGCGTGGGTGTCGACACAAGTTTCCTTGGCGCACACATCACTTCATCGAGCAAAGCCCGTCCTCGCGGGCGTTGACAGTCATGGGAAAAGAACCACTCACATTCAAAGCCCGGTGCAGCACTCCCTCGCCCGCAGTGCCGAAGATCTATGTGCCAGGCTGCAGCGTGCGCAGTGAATGGATCAATCCGTGGATGTCGATATCTCGCGAAATGGAGCGGTACGCCTGATGTGTGACGGAATATACCACCCCCCAAGCTCAACTTCACACACAAGTTGACCACCCGTAGAGTTGACCGGATCCCTCACAACTTCGTGGGTGTACGGCTTGGTAGTCCAACTCACTGAATGGCATTGCTAGAATTTTGGATCTGCCCTACAGCAGGAGCTGTTGCAAAGTTGCGCTGCATCCCATAGGAAACAGGGACTGTTGTTGGCGTCGTCAGATGTCCTGGTCGGCCTAATTTCCCTAAAAAAAACGCACCACGGAGCCCCCAGCAACACGTGTGCAATGTTGATGTAGTGCCTACGTCGATCCGAGATTGTCAGCCTGCCCTAGCCGCAGCCATCGCCTCATCCGACGTCCTGTCCCCCTCAGTCGTGAACCCGAATGTGTCGCGAGAGATAGAGATCATGCCCCTTGAGTCCCAG